CTTCCAGAGGCCCCCATGAATGCTTTGCTGCAGCGGCACTTGGTGCTGCTGCTGCTTCTGCTGCTGCTGCCGTTGTTCGCGCTGCTGCTGCACCAGTCGCTTGCATCTGTACTGCAGCAGCACAGCGTGCTGCAGCTGCCATTCTACACCTTGCATGCAGCAGCATTTTCCTGCGGCCTTTGCTGCTCTTGCTTATTCACAGTCCTTGTGAGATTGGCCTGCTGCTGCTGCTGCAGCTTCTGCTGCTGCTGCTGCAGCTTCTGGTGCTGCAACTGCAGCTTGTTGCTGCTGCGCCTACTGCTCGTCGTCGCTGCTGCCGCAGCTGTTGCTGCTGGAGATAATCTGCTGCATTTGCTGTTGCTGCTGCAGCTCTTGCTGCTGGGGCGTTCGCAGCAGCTGCTAGCACTTATCTTCCTACACCTTTGCCCACAGTAGCTCCAACTCCGGTATGTGCTGCAGCTTCAATTTGCTGCTGCTGCAGCTAGGCCTTCTTAGGGGAGTACTGCAGCTTCCCAGGGGGGGCCCCCCGGGGGCCCCCGGGGGCCCCCATTGGCAGTATCGGGGCTGCTCTTTCAGTGCATGCACTGCGCATGCGCTAACTCTAGAGCTGAAACAAGGGATTAAAAATGATTAAATAATTTATTTGTTCTTTTGAAGTCATTGAAGCAGCAAGCTAGTCATGGCGAGCCCCGCTTTGGGGGCAGCAGCTGCAGGAGCAACAGCAGCAGCAGCTGCAGCAGCTGCAGCAGCAGCAGGGAAAGCACACTCGCTGGTCGGCTTAGCTGCAGCGCGATGTGCAGCACTTTTGGGAATACACAGAGCTTCATTCAGCGGGAGCAGCAGCAACACTAGCAGGAGCTGCTGCAGCAGCAGCTGCTGCGGCCACAGAAGCTGCAGCAGCAGCAGCCTGTTCTGCTCTCCAGCTGCCTCACAGAGAAGCTTCGCAGCCCTGAGCTCCACAACAGCGATCAGCAGCAGCAGCAGCAGCAATTACAGCAGCAGATGCAGCAGCAGCACAAACAGCAGCAGCAGAAACAGCAGCTGCAACTGGAGCCTGGCTGCTGCCACCTCCGTCTGCACTCCTCAGATATGGAGCTGCAGCGTTCCTTCTCTCGGCTGCAGCGGTAGCAGCAGCAGCAGCAGCAGCAGCAGCAGCAGCAGCAGCAGCAGCACAGCCTTGTGGCAGCAGCTGCAGCAGCTGCGATTTTCGAAACATCCCTTGAAGCTGAAGTCCCGCGACTTGCAGCACCCGCATGTTCCTGGTATGTGTGTAGTTTCGGTTCTATGATTTGGTGTTTGGGGTTTAGGGTTTGGGGTTTAGGGTTTGGGGTTTAGGGTTTAGGGTTTAGGGTTTGGGCTTTAGGGCTAGGGTTTGCGGCGGCAGCTAGGGCTTCGGGAGTTGCATTGAGGTTCTGTCCGGATGTAGGGTTTAGGGTTTAGCAGCTCACAATTGAATGCTTCAAAATTAACATGAAAGAGGGGATTCCAGGGTCTAGGGTTTAGGGTTTAGGGTTTAGGGTTTAGGGTTTAGGGTTTAGGGTTTAGGGTTTAGGGTTTGGGCTGCTGCACACAGCGCCAGAGCACTTGCCTCCTCCGCGCTACGCATCAGCTCGTCTTGAGGGTCTGCAGCAATTCGTTCCTGTCAACTGCTACAGAGAAATGGTGAGGCTGCTGCTGCTGCTGCTGCTGCTGCTGCTGTTGCTGCTGCTGTTGTTGCTGCTGTTGCTGCTGGTACGCCCTCGTGGCTTCGGTGCTGCTGCTGCAGCACGCAGTTGCTTGGTCTGAGGGGCCTATTCAGGTCCTGCTGCTGCTGCTGCTGCTGATGGTCTGTCACAGCAGCAGCAGCAGCAGCAGCAGCAGCAGCAGCAGCAGCAATAGGCACAATGGTTACCTGTTGGTCCCACTCGCCTCTCCACTAGCTGCAGCAGCTGCAGGAGCTGCAGCAGCCCCCAGCCGCCCCTCACCCGACACCCACAGCCACAGCCACAGCAGCAGCAGCAGCAGCAGCAGCAGCAGCAGCAGCAGCAGCAGCACGTCGTGCAGCAGCAGCAGCGCGTGTGCGTGCAGCGAATGGACCTGGGGCGGGAGGGCGTGTTTGTGGGCAGCGACGGCCCCTGGAGCTTCAGCAGCAAATGGAACTCTTGGCGGCGCCGCAAATACAACACTCAGTCCCAAGACACGCATTTCCTGGCCAGCAGCAGCGCCAAAGGGATCAACTACTTCAAAAGGTGCAGCAGCAGCAGCAGCAGCAGCAGCAGCAGCAGCAGCAGCAGCAGCGGCAGCAGCGGCGGCGGCAGCGGCGCCGGGGGGGTAGTTGTAGTGGCAGTAGGAGGGGTTGTAGCTGCAGCAGCAGCAAGAGGTGTGGCAGCAGCAGCGGCAGCAGTAGTGGTGGTAGTGGAAGGGGTAGCAGCAGCTGCAGCAGCAGCAGCAGGGGTAGTGGTAGCAGCAGCAGCGGCTGCTGCTGCTGCAGCAGCGGCAGTGGCAGCAGTAGTGAAGCCCTTGGGTGTGGGAGAGTGCGAGCTGAGCTGATTATTTGGTGCTGAGCGTTGTGTTCGCTGCTGCTACCGCTGCTGCTGCTGCTGCTGCTGCTTGCTGCTGCTGCTGCTGCTGCTGCTGCTGCAGGCAGCACGTGTTTGCTGTTCAGTGGCAAGAAGACAACGTACACCGCATTCGGTGGTTTAGAGCTGCTTACGGAATTAAGAGGGCGAAAAAGGCGGCAGAGACTTTCAGGCGAACGCTGGAGGCAGTTGGTCAGCGTCGAGGGTTTAGGGTTTAGGGTTTAGGGTTTAGGGTTTGACGGGAAGGGCTGCTGTAGAGCTCAGCGTGTAGCGTACGCGGCGGAGCATGCGAAGTGCTGCCACTTACTGTATAAGGCTTACGTTCTAGGGTTTGGCGTTCAAGGTTTAGGGTTTAGGGTTTAGGGTTTAGGGTTTAGGGTTTAGGGTTTAGGGTTTGTGTGCTGCAGGCCGTGTGGACGGGGAGCGCAGCGAGAGGCAAATAAGAGAAAAGGAAAAAGCCAACAGACAGGCATTGCGTCTGCGGAAGAAGTTGTTTAAAAAGATTTCTTCAGGGCAATTCTAAACCCTAAACCCTAAACCCTAAACCCTAAACCCTAAGGCAGATGTTCCCGTCTGTTTGGGTTTAGTGACTGGCGGCCTCTTCAAGCTTTCTCTCTCTGCGCATTTCTCCTGACTTCTTCATTGCCAAGTTGATTTATTTATTTCTTTTTATTTATTTATTTATTTATTTCTGTTTATTTATTTATTTTTATTTATTTATTTCTTTTTATTTATTTTGTTTTGCAAAAAATAGGCAAAAGACAAAAGCAAATTAAAACAAACAAGAGCCAGCAGCCACTAGCAGCCAAAGAGCTGCCTTGCTGCAGCGGCGCCCCAAAACCAGCTAGCCGCAGCTAGCTAGTCGCAGCTAGCTAGCTGTGCAGCTGTGGCTAGCTAGCCACAGCTAGCTAGCCACAGCTAGCTAGCCACAGCTACCTAGCCACAGCTAGCTAGCCACGGCTAGCTGGCCACAGCTACCTAGCCACGGCTAGCTAGCCACAGCTAGCTAGCCACGGCTAGCTAGCCACAGCTAGCTAGCCACAGCTAGCTATCCACAGCTAGCTAGCCACAGATAGCTATCCACACCTAGCCAGCCGCAGCTAGCCGCCCACAGTCGCAGCTAGCCACCGACGGCTAGCCACCCACAGACTCAGCTATCCCTCCACAGTTACAGCTAGCTAGGCTGCTGCTGCTGCTGCTGCTCTAGTGGCCATGGCGGAGGCAGCAGAAGCTAGTTGCTGCGGCTCGCTGCTGCGGCTAGCTGCACTTGCTGCTGCAGCTTTAGCTAGCTGCACTTGCTGCTGCAGCTTTAGTCCTGCAGCAGCCGTCTGGAGATATTTGCAGTGGAATCAAGAGGAGTGAAGAGCGCATCGGAGTCGGGTGCAGCAGCAGCAGCTGCTGCTGCTGCTGCTGCTGGTTCTAAGGTGGCGGAGTGCTGCTGCTGCTGCTGATAGCACAGCAGCCGCAAAGAAGCGTATACGAGGGTTCGCTGCTGCTGCGTCGGCAGCAGCAGCAGCAAATGGCTGTGGGCAAAATCGAGGAAAGAGAAGGAGTTGGGGAGGCCTCCGGAGAGCTTCATCTGCAGCAGATCATTGCCATTCACCTGAGGCAGCAGCAGCACAAGCAGCAGCAGCACAAGCAGCAGCAGCAGCACAAGCAGCAGCAGCAGCACAAGCAGCAACAGCAGCGCATGCAGCGACAGAAACACACTTGACTTAATGAATGTAGAGGCGGCCTTCATGCTGCTCAGCAGCAGAAGCAGCAGTACTTGTGGCTGCGGCCAGCACAGCAGCACGCAGCAGCGCATGCTCTTAGGCAGCAGCAGCAGAGGCAGCAGCAGCAGCAGCAGAGGCAGCAGCAGCAGCAGCAGAAACAAATGAATCTCTTGCCTTCAGTACAACGGCGCAGTCTTTCGCAATGCTCATACAATTTAGATGTGCCCACACCGATGGATCCTGCATAAGAGCAGCAGCAACAGCAGCAGCAACAGCAACAGCAGCAAAAGCAATACCAACAGCAACAGCAGCAATAGCAACAGCAACAGCAGCAGCAGCAGCAGCATAAATATTAGCTGTAAAGGGCGCAGCAACAGTAGCTAATGCCTCTATATATTTTGCTTCATCCCTTTTCCAATGTATCTTGGTTGGCTCGCGCTGCTGCCGACGCAGCAGCAGCAGCAGCAGCAACAGCAGCAGCAACAATGCAAACGAAGGTCTGGCGCTGCTTGCCTCTGTTTCTTCCGGCAGCAGCACCTTCTCTATCTGCAAACAAAGCAAGGGAGAAGACTCGCCTCAGCAAATTTGCTGCCGTTGCAGTTGCTGCTGCTGCTGCTGCAGTTTACGTCTGAGCAGCGGCAGTTGCTGCATTGCTGCTGCTGCTGCTGCTGCTGTACAGAGAAAGACTAAAGTGTTAGGTAAACCTCCGCTTCGAATTCGCTCTAGAATTGACAACTAAAGAGCAGAAGCAGCAGCAGCTGCTGCAACAGCGGCAGCAGCAGCAGCAGCAGCAACAGCAGCAGCAGCAACGGAAACGATAGTGCTGCACTGTGCATGAGCTGACTTGCCGCAGCGGGAGATGCAGCTTCGCAAGTTGCTCTCCAGTAGAAGACAGGACCAGAAAGTTGAGGGTCTGGTGAAACACAACAGCAGCAGCAACAGCAACAGCAACAGCAACAGCAGCAGCAACAGCAGCAGCAACAGCAGCAGCAGCAACAGACCGCAGAGCGGTGACGTAACGGTCGCATTCAGTAATCAAATCGAGCCAGCTTTCCCTATACTATAAAGTGCGAAACTGCAGCAGCAAGCACCAAGGCTGCAGCAGCAGCAGCAGCAACTGCAGCAGCAGCAGCAGCAACAGCAGCAGCAGCAGCAGTTGTGGCTGCACCGTGAGATTTGCGTCGAAAGAAAAAAGAATGGGCACCTCCAGGTCCTCCTTCAAGTGCAGCAGATGAGCCGGAAAGGCAGCAGCGGATCCCTGTACATTAGCCCACATATGGTGAATCAGTAGCAGCAGCAGCAGCAGCAGCAGCTAATGCTGCTGCAGCGGCTGCAGCTGCAGCACTCGCTGCTCCTGCTGCTGCTGCTGCAGGTGCAGCACTTGCTGCTGCTGCTGAAGCGGTGGCCCTATTCCAGTTTTGCAAAAGTATTTAAAGAAGCAGACGATCTGCTGAAGAGCCAGCAGCAGTGCTTGAAGTAGCAGCAGCCACAAAAGCAGCAGCAACCGCCGCTGCAGCAACAAGAACTGCAGCGGCACAGAGGCATCGAGCAGCAGCAACAGCAGCAGCAGCAGCAGCAGCAGCAGCAGCAGCAACACATCGGTTGCCGACCTTGGCCATTTTTGAAAATCCGTCGACTGCCTTCTCCAGCAGATGGTGCTCTTCTCTCGCCTGGACCCAGCAGCAGCAGCAGCAGCAGCAGCAGCAAAGGCAGCAACAGCAACAGCAGCAGCAGCAAGAAGTGGTGCAGCGTTGCGGCATTTGATACATTGTGGGGACAAATAGCCACGCCTGAGTGCAGCAATTTGCCTCTTGCTGCTGCTGCAGAGGCTGAGCAGGCGGCCAGCTGCAGCGAGGCTAGCAGCGAACTGGCCAGCAGCAGCAGCAGCAGCAGCAACAGCAGCAGCAGCAGCAGTAGCAGCAGCAGCAGCAGCAAGGCATACCTCGCTGTCCAATTCATGTGAGCGACCAATGCGAGAGGCAGCCCGCCGCAGCAGCAGCTCCCAGTCTACATCTGCTGCTGCTGCTGCTGCTGCTGCTTTTGTAGCTGCTTGTGCCTGTGGTGGTGCTCCCCTAGCTGAGGCTTCTGCTGCTGCTGCTGCTGCTGCTGCTGCCGTATCAGACGATGCAGCACCCGCTGCAGCAGCAGCAGGAGCAGCAGCAGCAGCAGCAGCAGCAGGAAGGATGCCTCTCAGCGAGAAGTCTGAGTCCCACGGCTCGGGGATAGATGAGAGCGTGCTGTACTGCAGCTGCTGCTGCAGCAGCTGTTCGTGCTGCAGCTGCTGCTGCTGTTGCTGCTGCAGCTGCTCCTCAGCCCGCTTTCCTTGCTGCCCTTGCGACGGCCGCCGCTGCAGCTGCCATGGATGCTGCCACTGCTGCTGCTGCTGCTGCCACTGTTGCTGCTGCTGCTGCTGCTGCTGCTGCTGCTGCTGCTGCTGCTGACCAAGTGCAACTGCTTCTGTGGTGGAAGCCTCCAGCAGCATGCCGATGCAACCCGCAGGGGTGAGATAAGAGGCCCAGCTGCTGCTGCTGCCGCCGCTGCTGTTGCTGCTGCTGCTGCTGTCGGGATCACCCCCAAGGAGCCTTACAAGAAACTGCAGCGCTGCTGCTGCTGCTGCTGCCACCGGCTGCAGCGGGTCGTCAAGCACAAGGGGTCTAGGCGCAGCAGCAGAAGCCTCTGACCCATCAACCCAGTCTCTAGCATCAACAAAAGGGTGTTTGCCCTCAGCAGCAGCAGCAGCAGCAGCAGCAGCAGCAGCAGCAGCAGGGCGCTGCCATTGCCGAATCACTATTGTTGCTTTACCCTCAGGGTCTCCTTCGCTCTCTTCAAAAGAAAAATAGGGGAGAGGAATGCATCGCACGGAGTTGCAGCAGCTGCTGCAGCCGCTGTAGCTGCTGCTGCTGCTGTTGCTGCTGCTGCTGTTGCTGCTGCTGCTGTTGCTGCTGCGGCGTCGGCGACGCTCCACTTCTCTAGTGAAGCCGCTGCACAGGGAAAAGAGACCTCCCCAGCTGGAAGCAGCAGCAGGGGGTTGCTGCTGCGTTTGCTGCTGCATTTGTGAATAGCGAGCAGCAGCCGCAGCAGCAGCTGCACCAAAGACTGGGGCAAGAGCAGCAATGGCAGCTGCAGCAGCAGCAGCAGCAGCAGCAGCAGCAGCGCCAACCACCTCGCGCTTCTGTTCCCGCCACCTACTGCTGCACTCTTCTCTGCAGTAGCTTGAGCTGCTGCCTCTACTTATGCTGCTGCTGGCAGTGCTACTACTGCTTCTGCTGCTGCTGCTGCTGCTGCTGCTGCTGCTGCTACTGCTCTCAAGGCGACTTTCTGGGGCACCAGTGTGGCCGGGGGCTCCCCCCCTTGGCTTCAGTTGCTGAGCAGCTTTGCAGCAAAACAGGCTGGGCCAGCAGCACCAGCAGCAGCAGCAGCAGCAGCAGCAGCAGATCTGAAAGGAGCAGCTACTCTACAGGTAAAACAGAGCAGCAGGAATACCAGCAGCAAAGACGGCAGCAGCAGCAACAGGTCCGTGGCTAAGTCTACATGTACGCGGCTAAGCAGAAGCAGCAAACAGCTCAGAAGGCAGCACTGCAGCTGATATAGCAGCAGCAGAAACTGCTCTGTAGAGCAGCTGCGAGAGAGCAGCAGCAGCAGACTGCAGCACGGGACCAACAGCAGCAGCAAAACTAGTCAGCTTCTTCCATTTAGATGAGAAAATATATAATCGTTTTGTGCTTTCCAATGCTCTAATTTCCTGTAGTTTATTAGCAGGAGGAGCAGCAGCAGCTTCAGCAGCTGCAGCAGCAGCAAGCCCGGAGGTGACCTTTCGCTGCAGCAGAGCAGCAGCAGCAGCAGCTGCTGCTGCTGCTGCTGCTGCGCGAGCAATCGTCGATGCATGCTAGGACCCGAACTGCATGCACTTGTTTATTAAATTTATTTTAAGTTCTTTCGCATTTTTAGGTGGGGAAAGTATTGCTGCATACACACCTGTCGATTCAGTGCAACTCCTGAGACACTGCAGCAGCAGCAGCAGCAGCAGCTGCTGCAGCAAGTGGAACCGCGGCTTCCCGCAGCTGTTACTGCTGCTGCACTTGACAGCAAGATGCAAGGGCTTCTTTTGAGGCGAGCAGCTTCAACTGTGGCGACAGCAGCAGCAGCAGCTGCTGCTGCTGCAGGCCGCAGCCCCTTAGCCAGAACAGCAGCAGCAACAGCAGCAGCAGCACTGAGCCGGGGCGCCTCTTGCCCGCCTTCGGCACTCGGCTTCGTGCGAGCCGCTCTCCCTTCCTTCACCCCTGCAGCAGCTCCGCGACCAGCAGCAGCAGCAGCAGCAGCAGCAGCAGCAGCAGCAGCAGCAGCAGCAGGTGTGCGCTGCCTCAGCTCTGCAGCAGACTCAATACCCGCAGAAGAAACCCCAAACCCCAACGCCCTGAAGTTCAGGCCTCTTCTCCCTCGGCCTTTGGTGAACAAAAAGGGGAAAGTCACTTCGACGCAGTTCTATAGAGGCAGCAGCAGTAAGGACACCTGCTGCTGCTGCTGCTGCTGCTGCTGCTGCTGCTGTTTTTCGAGTGCTGCTGCTGTTTAGCTGCCGCTACTGCTGTTTAGTTGCTGCTGCTGTTTTGCTGCGGCTGATGCTGCTTAGTTGCTGCCGCTGTCGTTTTGCTGCTGTCTCTTCTGCATTGCTGCAGCTGCTGTCTTGCTGCTGCTGCTGCTGCTGCTGTAGCTGTCTTTGCTGCGGCTGCTGCTGCTGCAACAAACGCTGTGGCTGCCAGTGCTGCTGCTGCCACGGTAGCTCCTCCAGGTTGGGCTGCGGCTAGTGCTGCTGCCGGACCTGCTGCTGCTGCAGCTGCTGCTGCTGTTGGCAGAGGCGCCGCAGCTAGACTGGAAGGCATAGAGCAGCAGCTGCAGCAGCAGCAGCAGCAGCAGCAGCAGCAGCAAAGGAAAAAAATAAAAAGAGAAGCAGCAGAAATGCAAAATAACATGTGTGGCTTGTGTGTGATGAGCAGACTCTTCAAATTCCCCCATGGCTCAAGCACTCCTGCAGGTGCTGCTGCTGCTGCTGCTGCTGCTGCTGCGGTTGCTGCTGTTGCTGCTGTTGCTGCTGTTGCTGCTGCTGATAGACCGGGCTCTCACTGTTTTTGCGCCAGATACTTCAGCTAACGCTGCTGCTTTCTTCAGCTGCTGCGGTGGCCGCTGGTGTTATTACCATGACGCCTTCGAACAGTTTCTGCTGCTGCTGCTGTTGTTGCTGCTGCTGCTGCTGCTGCTGCTGCCAGCTGGAAGGCGTCTCCTCTGTGTTGATTGGGGCTGGCTTTATCTCCGTCGTGAAGACAGCAGAAGCAGATTGGGCCTCGCTAAAGCCCCAGGTAGAAGAAGCCATCAGGTCAGCAGCAGCAGCAGCAGCAGCAGCAGCAGCAGCAGCAGCAGCGACAGCAGCCGCAGCAGCAGCAGCAACGGCATGTTTCCTGGGTAGCATTATATCTACACGGCTGGACTTGGGTGCTGCTGCTGCTGTCACCTGCTGCTGCTGCTGTAGGTCTTCGGTAGATGCGCAGCTTGCTGCTGCAGCAGCTGCTGCTGCAGCGGAAGAGAGCGAGGAGGCGGCAGCAGCAGGAGCAGCAGCAGCAGCAGCAGCAGAAGCAAAGGCAGCAGCAGCAAACGCGCCTCTAAGTGAAGAAGAGGCTGAACTCTTCGAGTCCATCAAAGAGACAATAAACCACAGAGTCAAGCCCATGCTGCAGGTTTGCTGCTGCTTTTTTATTTTCTTTTTCTGCATTTATCATTTTTGCTGCTGCTTTTTATTTTCTTTTTTGCATTTATTATTTTGCTTCTCTAAAGCTGCTTTTTTGCTTCCCGTGGCATTGCCTTGGGGCCTTCGGGGTGGTATTTTTGCTGCTGCTGCTGCTGCTGCTGCTGCTGCTGATGCTTTGACCGCTGCTGCTGCTTCCTGAGCTGCAGCAGCTGCTTTTCAATTTGCTGCACCTGCTGCTGTCCGGGCCACGTTTGCTGCTGTAGCTTCTGCCGCTGCTGTGGTCTCTGCTGCTCTGGCCGCTGCTGTCGTTTTGGCTGCTGCTGCTGCTGCTGCTGCTGCTGCTGCTGCTGCTGCTGCTGCATCTGTTGCCGGAACTGCCATCCACAGCATGTGCTGCTGTTGCTGCTGCTAATACTGCTGCCGCTGCTTCCTTAGCCTTCGCTGCATCTACGCCATGTGCTGCTGCAGCTGCTGCTGCCTTTGCTGCATCCACAGCACCTGCTGCTGCTGCTGCTGCTGCTGCTGCTGCTGCTGCTGCTGCAGAGCGACGGGGGCGACGTGGAAGTGCTGCGTTTCGACGCGGAGAGCGGCGCGCTGTACGTACACCTGCTGGGCAGCTGCCAGGGCTGCCCCTCTTCGACAGTGACAGTGAAGAGAGGAATGGAGCAAATGCTCAAGTACTATTATCCCGAGGAAAGCCAAACCCTAAACCCTAAACCCTAAACCCTAAACCCTAAACCCTAGACGCTAGCTGCGGGCGCAGCTGCGGCCCCGCAGGCAGCAGCGGCGAGGCTAGGGGTGCGCGGCGTTGAGCAGGGCTTCCGTCTTCAGGGTTTGGCTCCACAGGGCTTAGGGCTTAGGGTTTAGGGTTTAGGGTTTAGGGTTTAGGGTTTAGGGTTTAGGGTTTAGGGTTTGGGGGTGTTGCAGGTGGAGGAGGTGATTGAGTGCGACGAAAACGGAGATCCCATCGAACCCTCAGAAGACGAGTGAAGAAGCCAAATGAGTCAAACTGAATTAAAAATAAATAAATAAATAAATAAATAAATAAATAAATAAATAAATAAATAAATGAAAGGGAGAAACAGAAAGGGTTACCTCAATGCACTGGATCTCTGGAAGTGATACAGAGCACGTGCAGCAGCAGCAGCAGCAGCAACAACAGCACCAGAAGCAGCAGCAGCTGCGGCAGCAACAACTGAGGCAGCTGAGGCAGCAGTAGCAGCAACTGCAGCAACAGCAGCAGCTGCAGCTGCTGCAGCAGCACTAGCAACGGCCGCAGCGTGAGGGACATTAGCAACACCTGCAGTTGCAGTAGCTGCAGCAGCAGCAGCAGCAGCAGCCGCACCAACACGAGCTGCAGCTGCAGCAGCAGCAGGCGCAGCAGCAGCTTCTGCAGCTGCAGCAGCTGCAGCAGCAGCAGCAGGCGCAGCAGCAGCTGCAGCAGCTGCAGCAGCAGCAGCAGCATGTGCTGCAGCTGCTGCAGCAGACGCTGCATATGGGGCCGTTTGTTGCTGTTTGAACTGCAGTGTATTGACAGCTGCGGCCATTTGTACTGCAAGGAGTTCTAAGTTTTCTTGGCATTTTAATTTGTTTTATTCTAATTTAAATTGCATTTAATTTATTTTATTATTTTAATTTGAATTACATTTTAATTTGTTTAATTAATTTGAATTAATTTAATTAATTTTAAAATGCGAAACAGACGACAAGTGTCGAAATACAGAAAATACAGACTTGAGATTTTGCTGCAATTTTAGCCCCTGCGTCTTCGGGAGGCCAAAATATAAATAAGTTAAAATAAAAGTACAAATACAAATATAAATATAAATATAAATATAAATATAAATATAAATATAAATATAAATATAAATATAAATATAAATATGAATATAAATACCTACAAATATAAATAAGTGTAAAGAATAAATATAAATAAATATAAATAGAATTGATATAGGTAAACATGATTGATTTAAGTAAGCATAAACACAAGTAAGTATATATATAAATAAATATAGACATAATAGGTATAAGTAAATATAGGCATAAATAAATATAGATATAACTAAATATAAATGTAAATATAAATAAGTATAAATATAAATAAATAAAGATGTAAATAAATGTAAATATAAATAACTATAAATGTAAATCGAGAAGTGAAGATGTATTTGTGAGCGTACAGACACCCCAAATCTTCGGCAGTCCACAAACGGCCTCAATTGTTTTTAAATAAATAAATAAATAAATAAATAAATAAATAAATATGTAAACATATTAATCCATTTGTTTGTGTTACATAAAAGCAAATAAATAAATAAATATAAATGCATATATGTTTAATTTTCTAAATAGACACTGGGCCTTGGTAGCTGTAAGTACACCTGAAAATGAAAGAAGTTTGCGCATTTTGCATTTAATTGAATGCATTTTTTAAATTCATTTAAATGCATTTTGGCATTTAAAAGACACTTTAATATTTATTTTCTG